AACTGAGCAATTTTTTGAAACAGAATCATTGGGAACATCCCCTCCCCCTTCCTCCCTAAGTTTCCATTTTTACAGTCTCTTTGCAGAACAGAACCTCCCTTAAAATATACCTGGCTCAGCTATGGAGGTGACACCTGCAGCTCTAAAGTTAAGGCTGAGGTGAGATTTCCCCTTAACCTCACTGACTTCGGTTAACGCTGAAGCAAACACTATACAGCGTTTTGCGGCTGGATGTGTAGACCACCGCCACCAGCTGAAATAGCAATTTCCTAAGCTAGAATCTGGCCTGGGCACCAGGCTCAGTAAATCCCTGTGTGTGCGGAAGATACCGTGGAGTTGTTAATGACCCAGAAAGGCCAGAATGCCAGTGTTAGACCTCATCTGGGAAAAAAAAAAACCAGCCCCCCCATCCACTCAGGGTCTCCAACCACCCCACTGGAGCATACGGACTCAGAAGGAAAAGAGCAGCCTGCTTTATAGCTATATTGCCAGCCGGGTGCATAAAGGAGGCAACTGCCCCGGGGCTTGGAAATTCCAACTGGCTTGCAGGTCTGGCTATAGCCAGAGACCCAAGGTCCTTTAAATAGATGCTGGAGCCCTGCGTGGCGTGCTCTGGGTGGCTCTCAGGGCTTCGGAGGGGAGCACAGAATGGTGCACTCCGGGCTGCCTGTCCCGAACCGCCCCTTCCGCGAGCACGAAGCCGACCCCTTGCCACATTGCCAACAGCAAGTCTGTCGGCCTCTCTGTTGCCAACACCTCCATGGAAGATCCAGGTGCTGCCGCAAGAGGTCTCACCATCCTCGTGTTGACCGAGAAACTGACCATTCCTAACTGGGTTAGGATGTCCTGGTGGTAACGTCAGTGGTCTGGCTCACAGCGGATCTTGGTTCACATGCCAGCTCTGCCATAGACTGTAGGCTATGCATGGACTCTCTCTATGTCCTTATTCCTGCAGACCTAACAATACTTCCTTGTTGAGTCTTTAGACTAAGCTTTTCAGGGTAAAGACTGGTGTGG